AAAAAAAACGAAAGAAATGCGTTAATTTTGAAGAAAAAGCTTTATATTTTATTTTCCTTTGTTTCGCCTGTCTGTGAAATGTAACACCGATGAGTCATTGTTTACACAGCTGGGTGACCTTGAACACAGCTGGAGTCCGATTTCCCGGGACATTCTCATAGACATCGCGGGAGGACAAGGGTTTAAAGTAGGGTGACTTCAATCTGGCGGTATATTTTTAAATATTTTTAAAAAATTATAATTTTTATTGCGATTTCCGACCCCCCCTAATTAATTAAACATATATATAATAAAATCTATTAATTAAAAAAATTAAAAAACTATCGGAGGTCGTTTTTGACATCAGAAAGCAGCTTTAAATAACTTTACCGAAGGAAAATCGGTGCACTACAACTTTAGAACGATTAATTAATTTTGATAAAAAAAACTCCCATTAAAAAAACATTAAAAAGCAATAAAGCGTAAAGCGCGCGTCATTATAGGTTGATTAAAATCGCGATAAAATTTTTTCGCGCGGGCAAAGAATTCTGAAAAAATTTGGGGACCTAAAAAACATTCCAAAAATTCAAAAAAAATTTCAAAAGTGGCCTTAACGACCGTTTTTTGCGTAACGCTATGAAACTTGCTCGAGTCACACTCGAGCGCGGCTCAGAAGGGATAAAAATTAATCACATGACTCATCGACATTATATCGAAGCGAAGTGTGATGGTTATCTATGACACACTCATAATTAATTCACATTTAAATTAGCAATTAGCTTACTAATGACAGAACTAACTAAATTACACTCTTTAAGCAAAAGATTGCAGAAAATAAGAAAACAATTTAGGCACAGCAGCGACTATGAAACCGAAACCAAAATCGAAAGGTTTTGGTTTTGGTTTCTTAGTCACAGCTATGCCTATAAAAGTTGAGATCCGAAAATTTGACAGAGAGAGAAAGAGAATTGTCGAACTCAGCCTTAGAGAACATTTATATAAGTTATGTTAATATACAGTCGACCCCCCTATAAGATAGAGATACGTTCCATTCTCTAGGAATCCGCTTTCTTACGAATCCTTCCAATCACAACCCGACACGTGTCAAGTTTACGGACTACGGCTGTTTGAAAGATTTTCTTCCATAAAATTAATCGATTCTAGACTAATCCGACTCAACATTTCCAAAATACGTATATATTTTTTGGGAATAATCCGTATAAACTACGCTATAAACAAAAAATTGTAGGATTACTTACCGAGTGTCACCATTCGACATTGCCATTGCTCAACATTGTTTTCGTCGCGGAACAGCTCAGCAAAGAGCGGCCGATTTCTAACAACTTATTTTTCTGTGAAAACTTCGTAGAACTTCGGAGACATCATTAATATAAATAATTTTAATCGCCGTTGAATAAGAAATGTTTCTTTCACAAGAAATGTATAAAATTACAGTACTGTATTAGACTTACGGTACCTAATTTACATACTGACAGACGATAGTTAGCGTAAAAATCTCCGTAGCGTGGCGCCACGCTAGACGGCGGAAATTATATATTTAATTATAACAAAGTTACAATAAGTTAATATATAATTATATATACAGTACCTAATTTATATATAATTAATATATAATTATATGTACAGTACCTAATTTCTTTATAATTTATATAATACTGTCCAGACGATAGAAATCTCTCCGTAGCGTGGCGCTACGGACGGCGGGAAAGTAGTTCAGCTGCCCGATGACGTTTGATGTAGTTATAGGGAATTTTTACTGTTTTTTACGGATACCGGTCACAATTTTTTCGTAGTTTTATAGGAATCGTAATTATAGGGGAAGTCGACTGTATTTTTGATTCTAATTATTTAGCCTTGTAGAAAAGTAGAATTACCAATTTAGTTATATCAGAGTTAAATTGAATTATTTTAATTTTATATGCCAGGAATAAAGTGTCAAAAAAGGAAATTAATTAAATATCTATTAATACTAATGTGGGGTAGATGATGATAAGGACTTATCACATTCGATTATCGTAATCGATTACACAAGTGTGAGTAATTAACATTAATAACATAACCAAAATGTTGGAAATAGTCCGTCTTCAGTTGGTATTAATTAATATAAAAAGATGATAATCGATTTTTAATATATACCCCTTTTGTTTTATTAAATGTACACTACGCTCATCTTTAGAAAATGAACATTTAGAAGGAACCGAAGATGCCAAGTAAAGACAGGTCGGGTGATTAAATTAAACAATTAAACTTTGTTAGATGATGATTTACTTTTAATAGTTTACTTCCAATTTAATTAATTATGTTTCCACGTGTATTAAAAATATGCTTTTAGGTTATGCCTATTATGTTATAAATGACACATAGCTATGTCTCAAATATTGGTAATACCCATATAGATTTTAAAAAATTAGGACTACAAAACTTATTGGTCCGTAGAATTTTTTTCGGACATTTTACTTCTCCTTGGGCTTAAACAGGTTGAGAAACGCTGGGTTAACCAACAAAATTTAATTGTATCCATGTGTGAAATCCGGAATTTTACCGAATTTTCCGATTAATATCCCGCAGTTTCCTAACCCTCCAATACAATTTTCCTTTAAAACCTAAACGAGAATCTAACGAAAAAAAGGGAAAAAATTCCAATCTCCCCTTTCGTTCGAAGTAAACATCCGTCCATTTCGAAACTAATCCCACATTCCGACTCCAAAGTTGATAGTTAGCATGGTCCCGGGGACAACTTTGACCCATTTGCGTACCTTTTACCTCACAACAATCAGTCACGTGACCATTAACCCCTTCTCGGGGGAGTCGTTAAAGAACCGGCGCAAGGTGAAGAGAAAATTTAAAAATAGTGTCCTTTTTTTCCAATTGTGTGAAACTTTCCTCAATCTAATTTGGATAATTTTTCCTTATTGGGATAACGAAGTAAAGAGGTATGGAACCAATTTCTGTAAGCTCTCTCTCGGCCGCTCCGCGCTTTAGGGACGCGAACTAGACGCTGTACTACCCGCAATTAGACTTAATAAATTGTTGTTTCTTGTTAAATTTTGCCTCTTCGTTTACTCGTATATCGTCCATCCCCTTACCGACGGCACTCCTCCCTCCGCCACTCGACCCGAACATTTAATCCCGTAAGAGCGGGAAGAAAAAGAAATTTTGCCATCTTGACAGTGAACAGGTTTCACGACCTGTTGCCGGACACTCCCCGGCGGTTCACACATGCCTCACACATAGAAATAACATTGTCAATTTTTTTCAAAGGTTTTGGTTTACCCAATTTCGAGATATAATGAAAATTATTAGCCGAGACATACACATCTCACACAGAGAATTTTGTAAGGGTATTTTTACATTTTAGGGTTCCTCGAGTGTCAAAACGTCGAGAAATGCAGAAGCTCGGGAATGAAAATTTGACCAATCACTACATTTTAGCCGAGAAAGTAAAAAAAAAAAATATGATTTTTGTGATAATATTAGCGAGGTTGCGGCCGAAGTTTTCATCTCTCAAACGTGAACGTCGAACGTCAAGCGCCGCTTACAAGATAGCGGCGCTTGACGTTC